TTCTTTCTTTCTTTCTTTCTTTCTTTCTTTCTTTCTCTGTCTTTCTTTCTTTCTTTCTTTCTTTCTTTCTTTCTTTCTTTCTTTCTTTCTTTCTTTCTTTCTTTCCTTCTTTCTTTTTAAGAACGGAAGCTTCCTGTGTGATTCTCGTATCTACCATACTCTGGGAGCCAGCCTCCTGCTGAAGCTGAGAGGGGACCAAAGTCAAACTTCCAGCCCGCCGCTGGAATCTCCTAAAGGTGGCTGTTTTCTGCCCCCCCCCCAAGGTCCCCCCTCTCTCTGCTGCGGTCATTCCGTAAGTCCTACCGTTGGTGAGCAGTCTAGCTGGTGCACCTTGGCTGCGTGCTATCATTTGAAAGTGTAGATGAGGAAGGGGAACAGACAGGGATGAAGGGAGTAAAAACCTCTTCAACCGGAACACAGGATTTCTAACTCTGTCCAACCTGAACACGGAAAGGAAAAAAGAAAAGAAAACTGTTGGATAAATAAATGTATTTTAAGTTCTTTTCACGCTCCCGCAAAGCTTCTGTAGTCTCTTCCCCAGTTTGGAAAATAAAAACAAAAACAAAACATTTTCTTTCTCATTGAAGTTAAAATAGACTTTTGCATATCTAAACGTATCACACAATGTTAGAAGAAAAATAATTACATATAAAGGTGTCAGATCAGTTAGGGTGTTTAAAAACCATTAACTTTGCTTTCTCTCACATCCTTCATCTTTCTGAGGGTTTTTTTTTTTTGTTATTGTTGTTTCCCCCACCCTCTCACCCTCCACCCCCCACCCCCAGTCACTTCCTACCTCCAGTGGCTTTCCCATATTACACAGTGCCAGAGGAAGGGCCGACTTAGGAACTCCATACACATGCTCATTTTCTATCAGAGGAACACAGACTAGCCCTGGACTTGGTAGTCATGGTTCCTGAGGAAAGAAACTATTTATTTATTTAAAGAAAATACAAAGGCCCCATTACTTTTCAACGGGGAATTTATACTTGGTGAAATTTTCATGAATAAAAACTCATTTCACTAAATGTTTTCTAGTAAAAATACAGGTCATTTTTATTTTGGGTGCAAAGTCTGGCGGGTCTGTTTTGAAAAGTGAAGGCTTGTGAACGTCTGGGAGGCGGAGAAATGAACAGACTCTTTAATAAGCAAGGCGCCCAGCATGGCAGAGAAATGCAATACCAGAAAGTAAACAGAGCATTGTGTGAAAAAGAGCAAGTTGAAATTAATCTTGCTTCTCCAATTTGAAAACACGCTCGTGGTTGTTAGCAACTGAGTCAAGACATTTAAATCACATATATACTTTTCTGTCTTGACAGTGACCTTTTCTGAGTATGCAGTAGGGAGAAGAAGATGAGCCAAGCCACGCTCCTGAAAGAGCATTTCAGTTAATTGAACATGAAATGTGTTGCAATCTGATCACATTAATAATACACGATTGCTGTTCTGTAGCTAATATGCAGTTCATTTGCTCAGGGTCCAACTAAAGCATTCTACAAATGTTAGCATATGAATCCTGCTGCAAACGTATACACTAAGCAGCTTCTATACAGTGCATCTTGAAGGCTCTTTGTATTAGTTATCTGGGCTGTGTAACAAATCGCTCCAACACTCACTAGTTTCAGTCAACACTAGGAGCTGGAGAGGTGCCTCAGTGGTTACGAGCACTTGATGCTTTTGCAGAGGACTGAGGTTTGGTTCCCAGCACTGACATGGTGGCTCACAACCATCTGTAATTCCAGTTCCAGGGGGTCTGATATGCTCTTCTGATTCTATGGGCACCAGTCACGCACATGGTATACATATACACATGTAGCTAAAACATTCATACCCCTAAGATGAAAATTTTAAAGTCTATTCGTAAATATATATATATATATATATATATATATATATATATATATATATCAGGGTTATAAAAATCAGGTCTATTTAAAATGATGAGCAGCATGGCTGCTTGGTAAAATGCTTACCTATCATGCACAGAATCCTGGGTTCCATCCCCAGCACCCCATATGGTGGGCATGGTGTTACACATCTGTCCTCCCAGCACACAGGGATGGAAGGTTCTGGGTTAAGAGCATGTGCTGCTCTTTCGAGGACCCAAATTGGTCTACAGCACCCATGCAGGGTGGAGCTGGACCTTCAGTAAATCCTGCTCCAGGGGAGCCGACGCCCTCTTCTGGTCTCACTCAGCACATGCACAGCCACGCCTACACACACACATACACAGACACACACATAAAAAAAAATAGATCTTAAAACACACAAGGCAAAGAGGAAGAAAGACATAGAAAAATGTATAACTACAGTGGAGGATTTTAACAGTTCTTTTTGCTACCTCTATTAACGTACATTTCAAATACAGACAGAAAAATTTGAGAAATTTTATGAGAGATTAGCAAGTCCAGCATATAAAATACTTAAATCTTTAAAATCATTTATTTTGTATCTTACATTTGCGTCATGTGTGTCTGGACATGTGGGAGCATCACCGTACACATGTGTGGGGGGGTGTCAGACGGCAGCTTGTAGGATGCCAGCTCTCTCCTCCCTCCCTTGACAACAAGGCCTTTACCCACTGAGCCATCCTGTCAGACTTCTATCACAGAGAACTTTTAATGTGCCCCTTTAAAAAGTGACCTACGAAGTAAACTAAATACTAGCAAGGCTACAGACCATCTAAATGGAATTAGCAAGTTTGATCTGGTCAGGTCCAGGTAGAAAATTACTTAACAATAAGTGACATACACTTTCTAAAAATATACAAAGTATTTATAAAACATTGTGCATGTACCAAAGCAAGCTTCAGTCAGTCAAAAAGTTTGATTCACGTAGAAATTGCCTTTTGAAAAATTCTAATTCAGTTGGTTAGATATTAATAACATTTTCAAATACTTTCCATTTTTATAAATTCTTTTTTAAATTTATTTATTTTTGTTTCATGTGCATTGGTGTTTTTTTTTTGCCATGAGTGTCCGGTCCCCTGGAACTAGAATTATAGACAGTTGTAAGCTGCCATGTGGGTGCTGGGAATTGAACCCGGGTCCTCTAGAAGTACAGCCAATGCTCTTAACCACTGAGCCGTCTCTCCAGCCCCTAGAAATTCTTATTATTGCTAACTAGATAATTAGTTAAAAGTCTATACATCTTGGGGAATGCAGTTTGAGTGATACCTAGGGTGAAGTTTGTAACCTTATAAATCATAAAATGGAAGTCTGAAACAATTAACTAGGTTGTACATTGTGGCACATGGCTATAATCCTAGTACTTGGGGCTATGAGAGACCCTGTCTCAGAAAAACCAGCCTGAACGAAGTAAGACGTACTAACTGTGCCATCAAGAAACTAAGACAAGGCCTTAGAGGCTGGGGGTGGAGCAGAGCGGTAGAGGATTCGCCAAGTATGCATGAGGTTTTGTGTTTGATACTCAGCACTGGAAAAAGAAAGGGGGGAGTGAAAGGTAACAGAATCCATTGGAGAGCAAAAAGAATGAAATAATGTTCAGTAGTTACACATACAATCTCAGCACTTAGGAGGCCAACATAGAACATTGTTTAAAAAAAGATGCAATACTACATAATATTCTTATTCTTGAGTGGTAAGAAAATAAGATATATCAGACCAAAAAGTAATGAAACAGGAAAAAAAAATAGTTACCCAAAAAACAGAAGACAAACAAACCAAAACCTAAAACATGATTTAAAAAAAAAAAAAAACAGTTGCAGAAAGTAAACTCCAGTTAAAGAACACTCAGACGGGATCCAGGTTCAACTCCCAGCACCCACGTGGCAGCTCACAGCTGTCTGTAACTCCAGTTCCAGGGGATCCGATACCCATGGTAAAACACTACTGCACATTAAAAACAAACAAACGAAAACAAACAAACAAGCCCACTGAGACAGGGGCTGGGGAGAGGGGCTGTTAAAAGAAGAACTGCTCTTACAGAGAGGCCTGGGTTTGGATCCTACCACTCACAGGCGGTTCACAACTGTTTATAAGAAACACGCACCAAAACTAAACAAAAATAAATAAATACATCACAATTTAACTCTCCCCTTACAGATCTCGGAAGGGCATACACAAGGTCCCAGATTTGACCCCAGCTCTACAGATAAAACAAAACAGACCAAATCCCTCCAAGAACAACACAGTCAGACCTCTGGCCCAGTTGATCTAGATAAGGAAAGCCATGTGGAGCATACCTTTGGGATGAAGCTGATAAGCATTATAGAAGCCACTGAGTTTAAGGTATGGTACAAGAGAAGAATCAGCCGAAATTTGTTAGGCATTTGAAAACCCAAATGGCAGCAGGGTATGGTGGTACACACCTCTTTAATCCCAGCACTTTGTGTGTGTGTGTGTGTGTGTGTGTGTGAGAGAGAGAGAGAGAGAGAGAGAGAAAGAGTGAGAGTGAGAGAGAGTGAGAGAGAGAGA